GGAAGGCGGTGCCAGCGGCCGGGAGGGCAGGTACGGGCAGGAGCTCACCGAGCCCCCTTCGCGTCCTCAGGGGCTCCTCAGCGCGGCCCTGCGCTCCCTGCAGGTCACCGCTGAGAGGGCCTCGGCGGCCCAGGGCCGTGCCCCGTACAGGGGTTGCCGTGCTGAGGGGGCCCGATCCGGCCCGTACTGCTCCGCCTGTGGCTGGGGGATATGGGGTGGAGTAGCTGCAGAACAGGGCCCGGGGAGGGAAGTTGAAGACTTTCCTAGCTTTTCATAACGACAGCTATAGATTTGCTTTTTTGTTTTCACAGCAGTCCTCTTTTCTCTGACTGTAACCTCTCTTTTGGGGAATACCAGGATAGAATGTGGTTCTGCCTCGCCTAGCAGATGGTGAAATGAAGGGCTTCAATTAAAACATGAAATAGATCTGTGAATAACTGAATGTGTAGTGATATTAAAACTCAGATTGGTTTTAATGTGCATCTTTACAATGTGTTTTATAGGTCAATTTCCTTAAGTAGTGCCAAAGGATGGAACCAGAAAACACTGCCAAGGAAACAGTCGTCATTACTGGAGGAGGTGGTTATTTTGGCTTCCGGTTAGTGCATTAAATAGTTATTACATATGAGAATAAATGTCATAGATTGCTGCTGGTAATGCAACAAAATCCATCTGTGAAAGAAAACTGTGGGTCTGAGATGCCTGATCCAGTTCACCCCATCTTCTGATTCATCTTGGGTCTCAGTTTTAAACAAATGTTATTCTGTTTCTAAATGTTTTAAGCAAATATGTTATTGTGCTTCCAAATGTCAAGCATCAGCTGGCTTGCAGACACTTACCTGCCTCATCACCTTTGTAATGGGGATTTAGATCATCGTCTTTCAGCCTACTCTCAAGAGCAAGCCTCAACTTGTATGCAGATTTTTCTTTTGACAGTAGGCCATGGCCTGCAAATAGTTACACATGTGCTTAGCTATATAGAATAAATACTTCAGCTGCTCTCTACTGTCAAGAATATATTTATTTTTATGGACAGTGATGTTTTAGGATTAGATTTGTTAATAAGGTACATATTTCAGTGAAATCCATTTCCCCTTACTGTAGGTGGCTCTACAGACTAACATGTAAAGAAAAAATCCTATTTTAAACCCTAGACTATGTTCTAGAGTACCTTCAGAGTTATAACTGCTTACATAGGTGAGAGAGATTGGTCATGACCAAAAAGTAAATTCCAAATGGCGGGGGAGTCTCAGACAATACCTGTCTGACTTCTGCTTTTTTCCTCCACTATGTTCACTTTAACCACTATAGAAATAGAACAGTTATAGGAAAGGGGGGAGAAATACCGGATTTACACTCTGTGTCAATACCTGTGTTTATATCTGTGACTTGGAGTACAATGCAGGCATGTGGCAAAGTATTCAGCTTAGAAGCATCTCACTCATTCCTCTTCTCCATAAATTTCAAATGCAATGGCAAAGACCAACCTATTGTCCTGACAGAACTGGGATGGCACAAAAGGAATAAGATAAAGCTAATAAGATTTTGGGGGTTTTTTAATACTTCGCTACAGGTTTACATCTGAAAGGTTTGCTGATGATGATCTGCAGGGGACAGAATCAGAGAACTAGCTGGCTTCTTCCAAAAGGCTGCTGAAAGCAATTCAGTTACTTCTGTTCTGAATTTTCCTTTACAGCAGTTCTGCCTCATTTTTTCCCATGTTTTTTTTTTTCTTCAGAGTATTGATGGAGCCTAAGAAATTAGTTCAATAGCTGAAGTATCACAGTTGAATCTTCCCCATAGTAGATGGCTGAATATTTAAAAGGCTCTCATCAGAGAAAAAAGGAAAAAAAAGTATTAAAATAGTTCAGTCCTCTTACCTTCAGCTGAAATGTTTCATGCATCATTATGCTATGTATACTAACATACAGTTTTTATCATGTTTTAGTTTAGGTTGTGCCATATACCAAAAGGGAGTTGATGTGATTCTCTTTGATGTTGTGAAGCCACTTCAAACTGTGCCAGAGGGAATAAAGTTCGTGCAAGGGGATGTCTGTTGCCTGTCTGAAGTGGAAGAGGCTCTTAAAGATGTAATCTGCGTTTTCCATATCGCTTCCTATGGAATGTCTGGCAGGGAGCAGCTGAACCGAAAACTTATAGAAGATGTTAATGTGAAAGGAACAGAAAATGTCATCCAAGCCTGCAAGAGCACAGGAGTGTCGGGTCTGGTTTATACAAGTACATATAATGTGATATTTGGAGGCCAGATTATAGAAAATGGGGATGAATCTCTGCCTTATCTACCTCTTCACCTTCATCCAGATCACTACTCCCGAACCAAATCTTTAGCTGAAATGAAGGTGCTGGAAGCAAATGGTGCTGAGCTTGGAAACGGGAAAGGTGTATTAAGGACTTGTGCTCTCCGACCAGCAGGCATCTATGGGCCTGGAGAACAAAGACATCTTCCAAGAATAGTTAGTTACATTGAAAGGGGACTGTTCAAATTTGTATATGGAGATCCTCTTAGTTTAGTAGAATTTGTACATGTAGACAATCTAGTCCAGGTTCATATCCTTGCATCCGAGGCCCTCAAAGCCAATAAAAAGCACATAGCTGCAGGCCAAGCCTATTTTATTTCAGATGGCAGGCCTGTCAATAACTTTGAATTTTTCCGACCATTAGTGGAAGGTTTGGGTTACAAGTTCCCAACCTGTCGTCTTCCTCTCTCCCTTGTCTATTTTTTTGCATTCCTTACTGAAGTAGTTCATTTTCTTGTAGGACATGTTTATAACTTTCAGCCTCTCCTCACTCGCACAGAGGTTTACAAAACTGGTGTCACGCATTATTTTAGTATGGAGAAGGCCAGAAAAGAGCTGGGGTATGAGCCTCAGCAGTACAACCTGAATGAAGTGGTTGAGTGGTTTAGGTCTCAAGGGTGTGGACCAAAGCCAAGAAGGCACACCATTACGCATCTTGTTAGGGATGGAGCATTGCTCTTGCTGCTGATGGCTGTAATGGTCTCATGGTTTCCATCTACAGTGACATTTTTTTCACTCTAAAAAGAGGAAACACTAAGTATGGAGGACAGAATTTAGTTATGTTCTCTGAGTACTCTTGGTTTTGACAGACAGGTAGCAAAAAAAAACTAAGACAATACACATTTGTGTCATTAAGGTAAATATCTTCACAGTTTTCTCCCCAAGGAACAGAAATGCTGAGTAAAAAGGTGTAATTTTTATACATAGTTCTCTTAAAGGTAAATTGATCAAACACTAACATGATGAAGCTCAGTATTGCTGCAAACAGCATTTTATTTTCAGGTACAACAGCACACTACAGTGAATGGAACAAATGTCCTTAGACTCGCCCTTCTTCCTCCCTGATGGGATTATACTCTTGATCCCTGCCCTTTATTCCTAAAAAGTTTGTGCTACATGATCCAGAAAAGAATAAACTTCCTCTTTGATCACATTCCAAAACCAGATTCTGCTTTCTCGCTTGGGTGTATATATGCCTGACCAAGATTAACTGATAAACTGGTAGACAATAAATAAATGCTTTTTTTTTTTTAAAAATTAATACATTCTGGTATGCTCTTCTGAGTTAACTCTGTGATAGCTAATGACATTTCTGGAAAATGCACAATGATTAAGTTATAGCAAAGTGCTTGAAGCAGCATAGATTTGTAGATTTTTCTAATAGTAAAATATGCTTGTTTGAAATGAATGAGGTAGCTCAAGTACATTCATAAATAAGACCTATTTTTTTTCCCAGCATTATTGAATGGTTAAACAAATAATCCATCAAAGACATTAGTAAGTGATTATATTCATACTCCACTGTTTATAAAACATTTTTAGCCTTTAATAACATTTAACACCTGACACCATTTGAATAGAACTTCACCTTTGTAGTAGGATGATAAACACTTGATACAATGAAACTCATAATTTTGTGGAATTTTAAGACTAGAAAATAAGACCTTGTTAAGTACAGGTCACTACTGTCTCTAGCAACTCCCTCATCTCTGTCAGTTTAATCTAGAAAGAGCTACTGAGAAACTTCACCTCAAAATGTTAAATCACAAAGTTGTTTTTCCTTAACGCATCAGCATTACAGTTTCAGTACTTCTTGATAAGAGGACAGTCCTTCAAGAAGTTCACACTTCTCTTTTGGTCTTTCCATTTTAATAGCTGAAGCTACAGTGATCTTAAATTAATTTTGTGTAAGTTCCAGTTACTTCAGTTCTGTTAAACTCTACTGCAATTTAAACAGGGAAGTGAAGAGGCAGACATTAGTTCTACTGCATTGGTAAAGGATTCTCAGAAAACAAAAATGCCTAAATAGAGAAACCAAACTAAAAGTCCACTGCCACCCAGGTTTAGAAGATGGAGATTTTTGTAGTTAATGATGACTGAAGACAGCATTATTTTTTTGAATGTTGAGTACTTTTCCTGAGAAGTTTACCTTAAAAAAAAAAAAAACACCAACACTATTGATAACTACATTTTATTTTGTTTGAAATCTGACTTTTCTCCTCCTTCATTTCCCTACCAGTATGTACACCATGAAAGAATCTAAATTTAATACTTTGCTTGAGGGACAGCTCAAGAGAGAACTCAGCTTCTCCCTCTGCTGCCCCCCCCCAAAAATAGCAAATAAACTGAGGGGGCCTGGGGCAGCGGTGTTGTAAAGAGCTTATGTGCCACTAAGAGAGTGCTGATGGCAGAAGGGCCACTTCCCAGAAGTCATTAATATACATCATCATCGTCTGCAGAAAGAAGAAACCTTCTTTTTAATAAAATAGAAACAAGACAGTCAGAACCTCATGAAAGCACTGGACCCCTGTTCTTCTTCCAACAGGCCCTGTTTTTTCCAAGTGAAAGCCACTTGGTTGTTTTCCCCTTTAAGTTCTCTCCTTTTGATACAGTGTTATCAGAAATAGATGAAGAAATTTTAATGCCAGCAGAAGTAACAGACAAAACCAAAATGTACACAAAATTGCACAAGCCTGTTGCACAGAACCATAGTATCAGTATTTCATGCTAAGTCTTGTAAAAAGATCTTTTTAAGATATGGAACATAACTCCTGCGCCCCAGAGGAATTTCTTCTGCTATTTCTGATCTTTCTATTAGCAAAACTCTGCTACTGCGATTCATGATTATCTCAACAGTGGAGCTGCGTGGGGTGAAAAATTCTACGAAAGGGTCCTAAACTCATGAAGCCTAAATCCACACTGTTAATACTGGCTGAGGTTAAAGCCCTGGATAGTTTTTTTAGGTACAACAGAAGAGGAAGCTCCTGGGAAGACAAAAAAAAAAAACCCACCAAAGCCATGAATACCAGAACTTCTGCAGAAGCTGAGCTCAACACATGAACCTTTTCATTTGTCTGGAGTCAAGGACAGAACTTTTCACTGATAAAAAGAATAGGAGGCATTATTTTGTCCTGACGGCCCATGACTTCTCCTTGAGCACAGGTACTAAATCAGGTACTTGTTAGGAGAAATAGGCAGCAGCTTGGCAATGGCTACCCCAGACCCCATCAGTACTGTACTGGTATATTCATTAATTCCCTGTCATTCAGCTCCATCTAGTAAAAAAAGCAAAGTCCTGACTACAGAAGAGGTGAAGGATACTTTTCCTCTTTCCAAAATGAAAACAGGAAATCTGTGGCTTAAGGAGATACTTTAAAATTGCTTGAAAATAACCTATGTATAAAGCCACTCACAGCTGCTCTACTTTAAGTATTTTACAATGAGAATTCTCTCTCCTCCTTCCTGCTTTTTATTTGTTATTACTACTCTTGCATGAATAACTGAGTAAATTAAGGTAATTAATTCAAGTGTTGTGTCTGTTTCCAAATTTTAATCTATTACCTGTTTTCCTCAAGGTGAATTACCAGAAATGCATCTAAAAACTGAAAAAGCAGAGCTGAAAATAGAGCACAGCTTCAATTTTCCCTAGTCCTCAAAATTATTTAACAATTGATAGCTGCCTCACTACAAAGAATGATGCTGATGTTTTAAGTGAATAGTTTAAGAATTTTTGGTCAGCTGCTTAACCTTGCATACATAGCATGTCAAGGTAAACCTTTGCCAGACATACACAAACAACTTATACTTCTAATACATAAATATATTTATTTTAGAAGTTTAAATATCAATCATCCTTGAAGTAGACCAGATTTTTATAGTGTCTTCTTCTAAGTGACCCAACCAAAATTTTCTTTCATTACTATTTATTAGTGATTTCCACATATTTTGAACAATATAGTGGCATATTTAATAATTTGTGATGTGATCTTCACATAGAAGTGTCCTGAACACTAATAATTTACATATATTTTAAAAGATCTGGGGATTAAATTGCGATCCAGGACTATACAGTCTTAAGAGAATTTCTTCTGCTGTATTTTAGTCAAGCTCATGATTCCCTCTTTTGATAGGGTAACACCTAAGAACATAGACTAGCAACGAACGAAACTGCACTTTAAATTCTTTTTAAACATAGCTGGGCATGTTTATAAATACTGTTATGGATCAGAAGATAAATTTGGCTCCCATCCGATTCTGAAGGTTAATTTTCATGATATGTAATTCCTATTTCTAATGATATAAATAGAATTCCAGTCTGGAACAAAGTTAACTAGTTGGACTGCACTTGGAAATGCTGACACAAGACTATTGCAGAATTCAACAACTGTACTTCAGCTTCCATGCCGCATTCAGATTTTTAACTAGTTTGGAGAATTCAAAGATAATCCTTTGTACATAGCTAATGCCCTCTCACCATCTAGAAGGCTAGTTTGAGAACTGCAAAATTAAAAAATGTTTGCAACAGAGAAACTTACAGATGCATTGAGGTGGAAAAAAGAGAACATAGGCAACAAAACACCTGAATGAAGCAATTTTTTGGAATTCAGACTTCGTGCATACCAATAAAGACCATTTGGTTCATCTAATGACCTACTAGAAGTCCTAGGCTTCAGATACCTCACATTGATTCCTGCTCAATATATACAGTTTTTATCAAAAGCCTGAGAAAAATTTTGTTCTCAAGACTCCCAACAATGAAAAAAAGAAAAAAAAAAAAAAAATCACAACTTAAAGACAGCGCACATTCACCTAGCAGCACTTCTGCGTATGCAATTAAGGCAACCTTATGGGCAGAAATGATGCTGATACAATTTTATGGTGAACATCAAGATTACTGTGCTTCCAAATTACTACAAACTCAGCTTTGCCTTGTTCAGACTTTATCGTTTGAATTGATCCAAATCTGATGCTCACTAAGGCTGAAGTTTATATCTACCTATCACTGAAAAAGGTCAGTTAGGAGTTGCAAGGTAAAGATGATCTTTGACCTTTTCCTTCTGCCCTGCTTGTTTGCAGCCAGATGAAGTGCAACAATAACCATGTCTATGGAAACCATCAATAAGTCAGTTCATCTTAAAAACACAGAAATGCCCTTCCTCCAGCCCCTAGCAGAACACACCATAACACACCACCAGACCACTCTTCAAGAACTCCTCATTGATACTGCCTCAAATGACTGGCAAAATTCATGAAATTCCATGAGCAATGCTTAAACAAAGAAGCATCTGGCATCATTCACATCACTGCTGAGATAGCAAAATTCATTTATTTAAAATAAGTTATTTTAAGGATTTTAAACAGTTTCTGTAAGAATACAACAATTTAACAGATATTGTTAACAAAAAAATTTGTAAATGTTTTTCCTCCTAGATTATAAAATTAGCACACGCATTCAAACTTACTTTCACGTTAAAACTGTTGCAACTGTGAAAAAGTTGCTACAGAGCCTGCCCTGACAAAGAATCAAGAGGTGAGGTTTTGGAGTTAAAACACAGAATGCAAGAAACAAGAGAAGAGTTGGTACATAGCCTTGCCCATCACTTGCAAGTCAACAAGAGAGTCAATCCAGTCTTTTCCTTCTGAATACAGTGTAACATTATACTCTGGGGAAAAGTCTTACTGTAAAATGAAATGCATTTTCATACATACTGAGGGAGTGCCTCATAACTTTTTACATCACATATGTGTGGAGAACGTGCACAGGACTTTTTTGAAGGACTAGAAAACGTGCGAGTTCTTAAATATTTGCACAGCAGCAGCACAAGGAATTCCTGTGTTCATCACACAATGACTGTCCTGTGTCAGGAATATACATGCGAAGGAAAGAAGTCAGGACAAATGGACAATTTGGTTACGTCTGCTCTGGAAATGAGCTTTAAAAAAAAAATCTCCACAAAACAAACCAAAAAACCCACCAGAGCAACAGCCTCGAGCTCTAGGGTTTGATCTCCTTAAGCCCTAGCATCTTGTAGTCTCCTATTTTTTTGTGATCAGCCCAAACCTAGCTGGTACTCAGCTGCCTATAAATCCTGTCCCACCTGTAGCAACAACTTCAGGACCTTCCAGATAAGGCTTTGGGCAACCTTGTCTGATCCACACTGACAGCACAGTGTGCTGTCTCACAACATTAAATGGGAATCATGGAGGCTGTTGAATGAAATATATAGCACAGGGACTGATCATATGACCAACTAACGATGTCCTGAAACATGCTATAAAATGCATGCAAGCCAAAGGTCCCCACCTCAAGGAACAGCAACTGCATCATCCCATTATACCTGGATACTTGCAGATAAGCCCAGCTTTATACAGCAGTCTAGGTTACAACTCCACCTCCCAAATCCACAGCTGATGTGATTTTTAGTTTGTTTGAGAGGGGTTTGCACCCATCTAATCCTTGAACAGGTCAATCACAACTGCGTACTCAAAAGATTTCAGGCAGGAGGAAGAAAAGCAGAGAGTTGCCTTTAATTACTAATCACCCAACTGAAGACAGCAAAGTTAATTTCTTTATAATAAAAAATTTACAGAAGCCACCCCATTGTGGGACACACTATTATCGCACTTTCATCTCTGAGAGAAGATTGCCTTTACAGAATAACTAAAGCCTCAAGGGGGTTCCTCAAACCATCATCTGTGAATGCACAATGGCATCAATTAAGTGCCTCTTGAAACAACAGAAGTCACAGCGTGGGGAGCAAGAGAAACTGGAAGTTGCTGAGGCAGCTTCACCAGGCCATGAATCCCAAATCTATGCAAGTTTTCTGTGATCAGAAATACAGCACTATGTATGCAGCATTTTATGCCTCAGGCAGTCATTTAGACAGAAAAACTTAACTCCTTGGCACATATTTCAAAGTTAAAGTCAAGCATATAGACAGCAAAACTCCACCCATGTAGAGATAAAGCAATTAGGAATTTGATACTAATAACATAGTGCTAGCACAAAGAAACAACACATACACAAATTATGACAACTGGTGTTAAATATGCCATTGAAGGACTTTAGTTCTGCTCTGCAGGAAAACACACTTGCTAATCTAAGAGGTTTTCTCATCTGTAGCTCCATGTTCTTCCTTTGATTAAAGCCATAAGAACAATGCACCTCTATATTTGTGCATACTATCATTCTTGGATTAGATACATTTTGGGAAAATGGTCTACATTTACAGAACACTATCATTTGACGCTATCGTTTAAGCAGAATTGCAAGAATAAAAATGGACAGTTCATTAAAAAATTCATTTCTGAGCACATTAGCAGCTGAAAGGATTTGCAAAATGATACTATACCAAAGTAAATGCTTTTCAGAATTTGAAATATCTTTCCTTTCCACAAACAGATATTTCCAACTGCATAACTTAAAACGTTTCCTTCCAGTGCCTTGAGGTTGTGAACATAGGTTCACAGGGGCTATGAATACATCGTTCCTTTCTTAAAACCTTTACAGAGAGTTCAACAGGAAAAACACAACTACAGTTGCAGAGGCTATGTGGTTTCAACAAAATTAACCTATTATCTAGTTCTCAAAAATGTAACAGAAAGCTTTTAACAAGAGGCAATACGGTATGAGCTATCAGCTGCCCAAAATATTTTATACAGTATCAGAAGTACAATCTGCTGCCTTGGGCACTGTAACATACATGATGTGACAATGCTGGTGTAGAAGTGCTTTTACAGCATTAAATAAATTAAAAACTCACTATCAGTTAAGATTTAAGGTTGTTAAAGTGGTGTGATTCCATGCACGCAAGTTGTTGTGAATGTCTTATCTATAGCCTGCATACACAAATATAGAAGATGATTTATACTTGTACTTCAGGTATTGATAATGAGAAGTGAGGTCTACTCAACTACATGCCCTCAAATTTTAAAAATCTTGAATACACAGGTCTGGCCTGCACAGAGGGTATGCTTTGTACAGAATATAAATTATTAGGAATTAAAACAGTTTTTCTTATAACAAGAAATTAAGGAAATCCATCTTTCCTCCTCTTTCTCTTCTGCCAGTCATTCAGTCTGATGAGACCATCGTTGTACAGGATGACCAGGATAAATTAATATCTCTTCCTGAATTGCACCATAAAGCATGCATCAAAGAATGATTGCTTTAAGAGTAGAATTTGCTGTTACTGACTTTCTTCTCCTTTAATCTTAAGGGAAAAAAAAAAAAAAGGAAAAAGTCAAGTCTACTAGGAATTTCTCAGAAGAAAACAGTCTATCAAGTTCAAATTACTATAGATATGAACAGTGAGTAATGTATCAGCAACAAGCACTGCAATTTTTTTTCCTCAATAATATGGGAGTAAACCAGTGATTCATGCAGCTGTTCGGCACACATTAAAAAAAACAGTAGAAAATATTCAAAGAAAAGTCTTCCATCCCACCTTGAGATCTCAAAACTTCCTCCTGGTACATGAAGCTTCTGTCTCCCTCACACCCAGCCCAAAGGTGATGGCAAAGGAGAAAGATCCTTCCCCTAAGCTTTGGATAATGTACTGACACTTAACTGACAATTCTATGCTGTTGCAGTTCAATACTGCTTTTATCTTTTGTGGTTTGAGTATCTGGAAGCATCTTCTGTTCTCAGATATCTAATACACTAAGGACACTTCCGGGGACATAACTTTAATAGAGTGAGGTGGTTTATTTATTTGGCTGTATATACTTCCAGGCTTTCCTCGTGGAAAGCAGGAGAAGAGAGGAATATAAACTCACAGGATTACATGTTTCACTGTGATCACTGAAACTGGGATTTCACTGAGCAGACATTTCACAGCATCTGCTGGCCTCTAGTGGCTTGCAGCCCAGCCTTGCTTCACTGCAGCCCTTCCTTGACTCAGATGTGCTCGTTTTAACCTCACCACTCTTCAGATGTTCATTTTGATAAACCTGAGATTTCCTTGCCATAAATCATGTCTAGATAGAGCTGTCTTAGAAGGGAAAATGATTATCAACCCACCTGCGGTTGCATGTCTCTTGATATATCTGTAGTTTGTGCTCATTCACATTGAATTCTTTTAATATAGCATCTCTGTTAGGATTCCTTAAATTCATATGGGTGTCATAAAGGAACAGCTGGTTATTAAGCTCCTCCTGGCGCTTCCGAAGTTGCCGACATGAGGAATAAAGCTCTTCTTCGCTTTCCTTCAAAAGAATATTGGAAATCAATGTAACTTGTAAGACATATACCCAAAAAGACATAGAATCAACATAGTTTGGGGGATCATTTTGTTTTCCTAAATACATTCCATTAGCTTCCTAGAATGTTTTATAAAATTAGTTTTATAAGATGATTCTGGAATGTTTACAGAAACAAGCTAACTAAGTAAGAAAGCACTAAAAAAAACCCCTCCGTCCCACAGTATGACCAGCCATACCCTCTAATGGGGGCATCAGGGACATTCCAGCACAAGTCATGAAATGTGTGTATCTAAACACTTCTATTGGAATATTTTTCCCTAATAAAGCATGTCAGTCTGTTGAGGAAAGGACAGCAAACGGTGTATCATGATGGGTTACCAGATTATAACAGTTTTTAAAATACTCTTTAAAAGTTTAATTTTTTACTCTTCCATTGTATTCGTGCATTACATGACATACTACCAATCCTGGTGCTTTCTTCTTGAAATCTAGACTAAAGGTTGAAATACTGACTAGTAAATAGGACCCCTAATAGCAGCAAGTACTCATATGATCATGAAAGAATGACAGATCCTGTGTTTCTGTGTAGCTATGGCAATTCAATACTTGCAGAGGAACCGACTAATCATTTGAAGAATAATTTGCAGCAGTCAGTTTCTGCTGTTGCATGTAGCCCACAGCAGAAGGTCTCAAAATATTCCACAAGCATAAAATAATCATCATGATTCCCTTTATGACTTCAAATTATTTTAATACTTCAAAACTTTGGATGCAAAAGCTGTCTCCTTTATAGAGTTACTAGTGGGGAATAGTACTGGCAGGACTGAAGTCTTAATTTTCATATCAGCAGCAAAACAAGATACTTATCCTATAAGGAATGACATGCAATCAATAAACGTAATAAATCCAAACATTTTCAGAGGCGGCATACTAATAAGAATGCCTCTTTCTGCACTCAGTCCAGATCTGGGAAAACCAACAGGTTAGCAACATACTCAAGGGGTTTCAGCTAGGGCAACAAGATCCTTTCCGAAACCTTCTTTTTCCTACCACACATTCCTACATTCCTACCCAGGTATGGGTTGAAGCAACTGAAATAGCCTCAGTGCTGTGCTACTGATTAAAATTTAAAAAGTTTTGGGGTTTGGTTTTTTGGTTGTGGGTTTGTTGTTTTGGTTTTGGGTGGGTTTTTTTGGTTTTTTGCAGTTTGTTTGGGTTTGGTTTTTTTGGGGGGAGGGGGGGCTTGTTGGTTTTCTGTTTTGTGGTTTTTTGGTTTTGTTTTTGTTTTAAAAGAGGAAGGAAACTTTGTATTCCCAAATCACAAAGGGAAAAGCAGATTGCTAATTACCAATTTGCAGGTAATCATCAAGATGCACATGTACTACTAGTTGTTCTTGTAAATAAGTTTATCCACAAAGCTAGACTTTAAAACCCCATTTAAGAATGTCCACTTCAATCTTTATGTTAAAAACACATACACCATCAAGGCTAATTGTAATCAGAAAATGCTGAAGAGATATACACACTTTCTGAAGCAAGTAATCAATTTTCAAGCAAATAAGACATGCTTCTAACAGCCACCTCAGTACAGTACAATTTCTACAACATCAAGAAAATTGGTTAACTTCAACAGAAACCGCATAAGGCCCCACATAATAATTCATAAATGTGCATGCTTATGTGTACAATATTGTTGCTTCTCTATTCCTGAGAAATTCCACAGCCATCTGTAATTCCCCTTTATAATTTTGTGTTTCATCTTCAAGAGTATGCAGATGGGCTCTGTATATAAACAGGCTTGTTATTAAATTATATAATTTGATGGAGGGTCATCATTTTAAAGAAGAAAAAAAAAAAAGAGGGGCAGAAGAACAGATGGAGACAGCCTTGATCTTTTCTGACGCCTCTTGAATGATCTGGCAGAAGTTCTAGAAGTTGATTAACTATGGCAAGGCTTGGTTTGTTGCAGACTGCCAAACAAAAGGGAAAATGTTTGAAAGTTCTCCTGCCACTGCATTGCCGCCCAGAGACATCAGACATTGAGAAAATACAGAGCTGCGCTGCATCTTCATTTGGCTTAACAAGCAGAAGGGGCTTCAAGAGTGCGAAATGTGCTACTGTCAAAGGACTTGGTGCTGACAGATTGGGAGACATACTGCTGCTGTGAACAACACTTTAAGAGCTACTCCTGCCCCAGGCAAATGATGATCTGAATTTCAGAAGAGAAACCACAGCAGGAGGAATTCAGAATATATCTACAAGTGATGTCCATGCTCAACATATTAGGCAATGGTGAGTTGCTGCCTGTTTTCTCAAACGCAGCAAGCTGAAAAACAGCAGTTTATCAGGCCTCCTCTATCAGACTTGTGTCCATGAAATATGAACATTTTAAACGTTATCTTCAAGGGACACAGGTGTCTCTTGCTTACACACAGCACACACTTGGTCTCAGCTTTTAGCCCTCTCCTGTTCTCATGACTCTGCTAGCCAACAGAAGGAACCTACCATGGCTGCTAAACACTGTCATTACACACAGTCATATTACATCATGTGTTATAAGGTGGCTTTGTAAAAACCTTGACAAAGTATGTCGTAAAACGACTGCTACTCCTTTGTGAAGAAGAATGTGACTGAATTCAGTAATTTCCATTTCAGTGTATGCAACTGCAGGCACAAATCCCTCCAGAGACATAATGACTTACAGTTAGCAGAAGCTGGTGTTTTAATCAGGAAAAATAATGTACACTGCTATGAACTGCAGCATAAGCCTGAATGGCTGTAAATGACTACAAAAAAGAAGTTGGACTTTTTTTTTTTTTTCCTCTGAATCTGAAAGGTACTGGAAAGCACCCTGAAATACCGACTTCCCAGAAGCATCTTTAAACTTTCATCACATGGCCTCTACACCAGTGCATTTAAATTACATTAAAAAAATTTTGAGATAGAGTCTGAGAACAATCCTGCTTCAAATCAACATATACAGCAGCACCTTTCGAACATCAACAAATGCTGTTCACAGATCAGCCACTTTAATGCCAGGCTTCATAAGCAAGGATGCATCGTTATTTTTTCCCCTGTATGTTTAAAAATACTAGTACTTTAACCAAGTGGTTTAGAGAGGCTTAAAAGAAGCAGATTACCACTTCTGTAGGAACCAGAATATGTCTTCCATCTGATGGGTTGTTTATTTTAATGAAATACTGGGAGAAATTACTATCTTCTCTTCCTAAAGTGATTTCTTTTTATGTAGGACCTTTAAAAAAAAGATTATTCTACGAAGTCAAAGCTGAATTTAGCTAGCTTTGCAAGGCATCAGTCAGTTAACAGGGGAAGACAATGACCATGCCGTTGCAGCAAAAACTAGTGGAGGTAATGAGGCTTTGTTAGATGTTAAAAGAAATAATGCACTATGTAATCTGTCCACCCAGAAGGAGAGTAACTCAATTTGTGTTGTTGGTCTTCACCAGTACCTACAGAAGAAATGCCTGACAACAGCACATCAGACACAGAACAGAAGACTAAACCCTCATTTCCTGGTTTCCACAAACAAATGATAACACACACTCTAAGTGCACAAAAAAACCCAGTTTACAAGTTCTCACCAGAACTTGTTGCATTTCACAGTGAACCAGAAGTGAGGCCAGCTCTATATCTTCACTATAGCCGTTCTTGAGAGGAACTGATCTAAAACCTGGGGGGGATGTATACAAAGCACAATTAGAGTCAAGGCAAAGGGTTATCTGCAGTCACAAAAACAGTGCACACAGTCCTGAGGGCTAACAGATTCTTCATTGCTCAAATGCTCTGCTGCTGAGAGCAGGCTTTACTATGACAATTACAGGGAAGCAAAAGGCAAGAATGGCAAAATTGAGAAACACGTGATTTCATGCGCTTTGAAAACTAAAGTCAGAAGCAGAGGAGCACAGAAAACTTACTCTACATACATCCACATCTAAGATAATTAACAAAACAAATGCACTGACACCAAAACAGAAAAAGAATCTTCCCAGATTTTACTCAGAGCATGTAATCCTGTTGCTGAAATGGAGTATATGGTAAAGACAGTGCAAATTATTCTACATAATGCTCTCCTACCTCAATTTAAAAAAAGGAATTTCAAGAGAGTGAGAGGATTATTTTTAAATACTTCTATGCTACTCACCCAGTATCATGATAAAACAATGGACTAAAGGAACTCACATCAAAAGAGCACTTGTCCTTTGGTACATTGTAGCTGCTACTGAGAGCAAAGTCACAATACAACAATGCTGAACAGCATTGTTCTGACTTAGTCCCTTATTATACCCACTGATCTTACCTGATTTGATTCCTTTGATGGGAAAAGTGGCATGTGCTAAGAAATTGGGATCACTGAACATATCCTCCTCATAAACAACAAAGCGCAGAAACGCTAGATTTGGATCATAAATTTCAAATTTCACTTGCTCTGGACAGGGTACCCAAACTGGATTAAGGCCATTGTCATCTGTAAAGAAAATGAAACATTTGCACTATGAAGCAATAATTTCACTTCATTCACCTATGGGTATGTATCCCAGGACATTTTCTGGGGATACAAAGGCCTAAAAATCCTATGCACCATCTGTCTCCTGTTGTAATCTTGCTTCACAAGGTTTGTATTTGTTCATTTGAGGAGAGAGATAGGAGGAAACTTGGCAAGGATGGAAATCCATGAAGAAAAGCTATTATTTGTATTCAAACATATAAAACCTCCTTGGATATGTGTTTGTAAAAAAAAAAAAAAAAAGCAACTCCACACTTATTCATTGCTCATATTCATGAGCCTCATGCTCCGTATCAGAGTAAAAGCATGAAAAGAACTGGGAAGGCTAATGTACAATGGCCCAATTCTTATAGTCATTTATAGAACACCAAGTAATTTGGCATGACACAGCCAGAAAGCTTGCTCTCTGAAGTCTCAATCCCTTCCCACAAAAAGTTAAACTCAATCCTTTTCTCCAAAGTACTGAAGAGCCACAATGCACATTCTGCTCCTGACTCGGTGTTTATTTTCCACTGGTACCAGTGGTTTGGATAATGAGAACCAAAGCTTCTTGTCTACTACAGGAACAGTGCTGCATCCAAAAATATTAAATGGTGAAATATTAAGTGGCTGAAATATTGCCCCATTTCAGTGCACTTAAATGAAGCTCACACACATGCACACAAACATGCATCCCTTATCCAGAACTCACCAGGAGTAAGTTTTGATCAAATTTCTATTGCATTGCAAGTTGTACTACTTTACAGCCTTACATACCCAAGCTGTCTCCAAGAGGATGCCAGTCTTAGAACCCGAGTTTGAATAAACACAGTCTGGATCTCTCACAGTAGTAACTCCTCATTTGGGCCAGACTTTTGGGAACTGACTAGCACTGTTGGAGGCACTTTCAAGACAGCAATTTTTTAAAATATGCAAATACACAAACTTATGCATAGGCAAACCATAACAGAATTGAGACACTTTTTTCCCCAAACTGCAACAGTACTTTTTTTTTCCTAAATTTGATATACATTGATGTTTCTCAAATTAACTGGCCCTGAGGCAAGCAAGAGAATAATACTGTATAACTCATCAGTCCAGAGCAACTGTTAACTTATTCCTCCTTATATAGGTTGCTGGCCAATTACAGACAACATAAATTCATGGTCATCCTCTACTCACTTTATTTACGCGCACTGGAATTATAATCGTATCCCTACAACACAGAAAACTACAGATACTCACTCACAACTGTTGTCTTGAATTTGTTGTTATCATATTCAGCCCCACAAATTTCTACCTCTACAAAGGGACAAGCGATGCTTCTACCAGGTTTAGGGAGATGACGAGCACCTAAAACCTGCAAAAGCAACAGTAAATTATAACCACCTCCAAAGGAAAATTGGCACCATTATTTCTGTACTGAAGGTAGCCTACAGAACTAGAGCCGGGGGGGGACCAAAACAGAAGAACATGCAAAAATACACACTCCCTCTCTTGAATATGTTTGCATATATTAAACATACTATCTGTGCACCAATAATAATATCTTCCATTTTTTTGGTAATCCAGTTATTTTTGTTGTAAGATACTGTGATTGACATTCACTACACACAGTAGGCAGTTCCAGATCAGGCCTGTAACATAAGTTCTGTTATCTTCCCTCAGTCTTTATTACATATGTATTCTAAGACATGCCTGGTTTATATTCAGAGATCCTGTTTACCTGTTCTCTAAACTGTAGTGAAAAGCAGTTAATGTGTTTCTTCTTTTTCAGAAAACATATTTTTAAAGGGCATCTCTTACTGTACAGCAACTGAGAACAGAAACAAGTTCAATTGCTGTTTGGCACCAGAATACAACATGGCATAATTTTCAAATGATAGACTCATTTCTCCATGGAAAATGAGAATGACATTCTGACTAAGTCTCAGTGTACTAAATATGAAGGGGGGGGATCAGCTTATTATTTTTTCTGTTTAGTTTCTATATTTCATTACAAATATCTTTCTTCCACACTCGAAATCTCTGAACTAGTTAGTCTGCTGCTAACCAATCTCCAATAGGACCCCTCTATTGAGTAGTCATCAGCCTGGAAATGCAAGTTAGTTCATTTGGAATTTTTTATTAGCAATTATATAACATTATCCCAGGATTGTGTTTTCAGTCCTATAGCCTGTGCTTCATTAGCATGATAAAGATATATATTTCTTTTCAGGAACCAGTGGAATTAATTTTATTCTCAAACACACTGACATTTAAAGACAGTATTTTGACAATCTGTCAGATCTTGCTCTGAAACATAATAGCTTTATTTTTAGTTTTATAGATATTTATGACTTGTATAAAACATAATTTACAAAAGAGATTTACCCTCACTGTCATAATCATCTGCAATTTCCTCTTCAAGTCATTTGGCATTGGGTCATATTCTTCATTTCGCATGCTTTCTGGCTGCAGAACATAGCCAGTGCGTCCATTAAGTGAAAACAAGGCATGGTTCAATTGCATGTATTTATCTAGGGAGAGAGTTAAACAGTCATAACAGAAGATCCCTATTTGAATAAAGCTAAGGAAGTACCAGACTAATGGCTCCTCTCTGTAATTCTTTCTGGTCACCACTTTATCAGAAAGAGCTGGAAAGGTACATTGGAAGACACGGTTCCCTTCAGTAACTGAACCTGACAGGCCATTTCGCACCAATTGTAATCCTGATAAACCCATCTCCATTCACAATTAGTTTCCTATCAAAGTGTCATAAGCTAGCTGGCCCTTAACAGAAAGTGGAGTACAGCCTCCCCTGTGGCTGAACAACTGTTCACCCACCTGAAACTTACTGTAAATATTGCTGCTTCCTTATGATGAAGAGATCAAGGTGAAATAAACCTTTTAGAGTTTGGGGCTAGTTAGACTTAGAGACAGGGCTTTTGGAGGCTGATTTTTAGGGACCAACTCTATCAGGCATTCCACACATTCAAAACCAAACTTTAGTTCTTGCACATCCCTTCTTGCATGGAAGTACAAATAAATAGGACAGCCAGTGACTAGAATGGCAAAGGGGGCAGAAAGGGGCTCATTTATAGTGAAATGGAAGGTGGATTAGATGCGTTTTTAAAGGGAATATTACCTGGAGTTTGGAAGTTAAGAGCAACCATCTGGGAGCCACATAGCCAGAGGCGAAATGGGTCGTAGTTGGATGAGTCGACCCTCTGTCCTTTAGGATAGACACGTGTCAGTCCCTTCAGGTTGTATTTTAACAACTCAGCTGGCTTTTGCTTAACAATGCTCTCTGCCTTCGTTTCCACAAAAGAACGGATTTCTTTGAAATCAGGATTTTCTACACAGGGTAGGGAGGAAAAAGAGTGGTTACTAAAGGAAGAAAGAAGTCGACATTTATACTGCATTTCTACTAACGCTTTGTTTTACTTATTTTTGCTTTGTCTTTTAATGCAATAATTGGCACAGTTTTCGTGCAGACACAGCAAATTGGTTGAGCATCAAGACTGGAAGTTAAAATTGCCTGCTTGCCACATGCTTTGCAGCGGGGCAGATAAGAGTCCATAGTCATGTTCTTATCTCATCATTGCTAATAATGTACTTCTGACCACTATAACACATATTCAAATGAGACATCTTTTCCTGGGCTTAAATGGGGAGAAGAAAGGGTGAGCCAGGGTTGGCCAATGCCTCAAACAATTACTATAATTATAATGTCTTAACCACACCGACAGCTTATTAAAAATGCTTACAAAGAAACTTAAAGAAAAAGGGTGCATTTGCTGGCTTCTCCAGCAGCAATGTCAAAAAACTGGAATAAGAAGTAGATATTTCAGTGTCAGATTCCACATCCACACTTACACAGGCCCCAGTTCGCATTTATATTATGCAACCATATACCACATAACTAGTAACTAGTACTAGGACATAACTAGTGAGCTTTCCCATGAAAGACACCTACAAGAGGGTATCGCTAGTAGACTAGTTAGAAATCTGTGACAGTTTTTTTGTGACAGTTGAATAGCATCAAGTTCCCTAGGGTACAATTTCAAAGTGCCCCTGAAAACTGCAAGGGTGAGGCAGAACTTTGTTTTCCAGTAAAGAAAGGATAGATTTTTTCTTCAGTTCTAAAATTTCAACTAACATCTGTAAAGACAGTAGAAAGGGTAAAATTCAGATATAATATTAAAGGAAATACCTAAATTGTCCTTGGTTTTGCTTGTGGGCTTGCAGTAGATTACCAGATCAGATAATTCAATCGCAATCAATTGATTCTTTTCCCAGTATTTCCTCCTGTTCTCCTGTAAAATGTAACAAAGTTTTAGATTACAGATACATTGAGTATTATGGTACAGTAACTCCAGGATATACTCTAATGAAATTACAAAGTTGATGCATTCTTTGTTGCCCAGATTCCTATCTGATACTTTAGACACTTGCATAGATGTAATGTACTTTAAGACCCAATGCAGAGAACTGGCTAACTAAGTGGTTTTGGGTTTTAGTTGTGGGTGCATTTTGGGGGGGACATTGTTGTGTTGGGTTTTTTTAAGCATGCGTTTCAGTGCTTCCCTGATCAGTCCTACTCAGAGTTCTGGCAACTATTTTTTTTTTTCTTTTAATGTGGCTCTACTCAATTTCAGTTACATTCTCAACTCCGTGTCTCATATAAATTCAAAAGTATGCAAAAAAAATTGCAAAGGGTAGTGAAGTGTCTCTCTATTTATTTACAATCTTGAGCAGGACTTAAGTCTTGTTAGTAACTCCCAAACAGCTAAATTCAAACCGTATCAGCACACCAAACCAATAACGTGTATGGAAAATCATGTGTAGTCTTGTTGCCATCACCAGTAATAAACTCACTATCTACTTCCATGTTTGCAAGCACCTGCTCTATGGATGCTGAGCAACGGTCCCTGCAACCAGAGATTGGGAACTACTGAAATCAGCAAGATTTGTCCAGGATAGAAACATTTGGACTGGAGGTTTTTCAGACATAAGTAGTAATTACAGGATAAAGCATGTTAGAAGAGTCCCATCCTGAACAACGATTAGCTTTTGTACAAGAGGTTCTGAAGCAGCAACAATTAGGAAGTCTTCCAAAAGAGTTCCCTCAACAAGACAAACTGAAGAGGAATGAAAATCAGAGCTAGGGAGCCACAGGTTTCCAGAATGTTTCACTGAACCAGAGATTATACATTGACGACTGAGAAAAGCAAAGAGGAATAGGGTGTTTAGACTTGGAAATAACCTTGGGAAAAAGCTATACAAACTTCATTGTACTTAGTGATCCACCACAGTTTTCCAGACATTGCTCAACAGTAACCAGAGCTCCAAACAGCAAAGGACCACTTCTAGATGCCATGAGCTCATCTTCAGACATAATGCTGTAGTGATAACCAAGCAGGAGAGCTAGCAATGAATAACCATTCCTAGGAGCATGGCAAGCACCAGTATTAAACAGAGATGACAAGATACATGAAGCTTAGTTTTACTTTTTGTGTATAATGGCCATAGCCCAAAAATGAACTCATAAAAAACCTGTATCATATTGTAACATATTGAGTCAACAATGTAACATATTGACTCCCTATGCTTTTTCCTTCCCCAAAATTCAGCTTGTTAACTGTACTGGCAAAAAAGGCATTTCCTCATCTTTTTCCCATCCCCATGCAGCAGTTTATCATGTGAATTTTCTAGAAGCCACACTGTGAGAAAAGCCTCCTGACTGACAGAAATTAGTTTTAAAGCATCTTTGAACACAGAGTGTTTAACACTTCTCTAACTGTACAGAGGGAGAAAAAGCTGCCAAGCTCCTGAAAAGCCACTGATGTACCATAAAAAACATTCCATTTAGAGACACTTCTTCTAGGTCATGTTTCTCTTTTTCTCATTTTTATTTCTAAATTAAATTCTTGCATAAGAACCATATCTCTCCTCCCCCAACAACAGGTCAACAGCTCCTGTTGCTTCTTTCCTTTTGAATTTGCAGTCCTCTGCTTGAGACACCAACTTACCCGCTATAAATAGGATTATGATGACCCTCAGAGCATTACCACTCCAGATGACAGATAAACAGCATGAGCCAACATGATACTGAAACACATTTTCCATCACTCCTATCGCTCACTTAACAATAAAAAGTGAATAAAAGCAACAAAGGAAAGAGTATACTTAAGCATAGTCATTGTAAGGGCTTTTTGGTCATGTCAAAGACTTCCGAAATACTAAAAAAGATGACAGGGAGGTAAATTAACATATCAGAACAGGAAAAGCAAGTCCTGAAAAATGTCTTTAAGGGGCAGTACTTGTAGAGGGATGCGGAAGTTAAACTTAGGCAGAATCTTTAATCTTTAGGCAAGGATTTGGAAATACTACTATTAAAGATCTGGTAAATCCAGAATGTGCTTATTAGTTACAAATAAATAAAGTATTAGCCAAACAACTCCCTGTCAGTGCCACTGCATTCACTGGAAAGCAGAGCTAGTAGACAGGATTAAGAAGAGTTTAGGCAAAGGCAGAGCAGATTTCACATGTACTCGCTAGTGGATTCACAACTCTGAACAGAACAGTCTGATATCTGAGTTTCTTCTGCTTAACACTAGGATTGAACCAGTGTAAGCAGATGTAAAATCATAATGGTATCTACTTTGTACTACTAAGCACACTTCACTGAGGTGCACGGTGCAACAGATGATACTCTGCTGAAAAACTTCTGTTAACATAAATTTACATAAAGTACTAATTTACATACCATTCCCAAAAGAGTTTAGGGAACAAGATTCCCAGCATCAATAAAATGAACAGACAAACAGCAATATGCAAGAGAGTGAAGGACCATGTGTTAGCAAGATTTAGCAGGGTATGGCAGCTAAAGACAAATCCTATTGTAAATTTATAGCAGTACATTATAGAAAACAACAACAGATAGATTTTAATCAATACCTCTTCTGTAGTCTTCCAAGTGATTTCACGGATACTTTGGTACCATTCAAAGAGCTCTTCTACTTTATCAGTTGCAAACTCAACACATGGATCTTCTGGATTCTTAGGTTCCAGAATGAAGACAAAAGGCTTTTTGTGTTTCCCTTGTGGCATTTTCACTGTTAGGCAAATAGTAGCAAGAAATTTATACTAAAATTCAACAGCTCTTCTTCTAATCCACCATTGTTGATTCATTGCAACAGTTAGTATCATAAAATTTCATCATATTAATTGTATTAGCTATATTAATACAAGTAGGTGTTTTGGTTGTTTTGGTTTTTTAAAAACATCTTTCCTGATAAACATAAGAGTCTACTCAGCACAGAAAGCTCAGGAGTCCAGGTGTAAGCATCAGAAAATACATACCAACGTTGTACGTATTAAGAACCAGTATGCCACGACACAGACAGCCTAATGGATTGTCCTCGATAATCTGAAAAACATGAGTTAAATCTGACACTAAATCTTCTCTTGAGTGAATGTGCACAGGACATTAACAAATAATAAACACGCACCATTAAATCTAACCTCAGTTTCACTGAAAGCATGCCCACTATAATGTTTAAAAGCCTGTTTCCATATCAAGAATTTCTCATTTTGAGAAACACATGAGAATCTCTATAGTGAGAGCAGTCAAAATGAGGAGTGCAGCTTCTGTCCTGACACAACTGCTCATTTTTTCAAGTCTACTTAAGGCTGCAATGACTGGGGCGGGGGGAGAGGGGAATCTAACACCTGTGTTTTCCTTCAAAGACTCCTGGAAAATCACTGGAAGTGCTTCAGAACAAAAAAAATAATTCAACATTTTATTTTTAAAACTCAAAAATGTCAAAACTGCTTACTATGCAGTTTTGTTTTCTTTTGCTGAAGAGCTCTTTGTCCAAGACTCTGGACTAGATTTTTAGACACTTTTGACAAACAGTATAGGGTTTGTTATGCATAAAAACTTAATAATGGAATGTGAAATGGCTAGTAAGATGTGTTTGGACATATGGTTTATTTATTTGCAAATATTAAGGCAGTAATTATACAGGCAGACTAGTTAAAAGTTTCAGACACATTATTGTTTAGCCAAACTATCTGAAAAATCTAAACTGGTATGATTTTCATTAGCAGGAAACCTTCATAATCTCCTAAAACTCCACCAAATCAACCATCTCCTTAAGTAGTTTTCTATGAGAGATGCCCTGACAAAAATATTCAGCAGCAGAGAACAGTGAAGAATATATGCATCTCTCTATTGTGTTCTCTCAAACACAGCATGCAGAGTCGTAATTCTATAACCTTCCAGGGAAATGTAGTGGACAAACTTTAACCCTCACCTGGCTTTCAAGCTCAGCAGAGTTATCAGATGACAAGTCTTCAACATAATTAGATGGAAAATAGTGTTGGACTTTTTCTCCATAATCTCCCTTCCACCTGAATTTAATAAAAAAAAGCATATATAGAGGAAAAAAAACAGTTAAAGAGCTTCAATAAGCCATTAGTGAAGCAATAATCCTCAAGAATTAAGTCATTAATACCCCATACTACCTTGTCTAGCTGGCTATCACCAAAATATAAGTGATGAAGTAGCTAGAAGCTCTAACAAAGTGATCATTAACTGTAGTAACAGATCATTTCAGAAGGATTACAGTTACTGTAAACTGCAATTAATGACTTAAGAGGCTTTTCTCCCTTCTAGTACTAAAAATACTATTATGTGGTTGATTACCCTGCAGAAACTACAGGGAAACATTAGATTCCCAAGCTTTCCAAGCAATTTACCAGCCAGCTAAGAAAGAAAACCTCTTATAAGACTGTCCAAATAACTAAAAAGGGTCGGTTTGATTCCTGAGAAGTACTTAGTAGAGCAAGGAAAGAAACAGAACAATGATGGCAATGGTAATAGATGCATGACTTCCCAGAACACACAAGTGTTAGGGAAGGATGAAAGTAGTAAAGGAAAAATACTGGATACACTGGGCTATGAAGGTTCTCCGCGGGCTGAGGTTATTGCTGTAGGACAGAAAAATGGAAGAGATGTGAAAGAAGGCTTGAGGATGAGAGGAAAAATAATTGCAAATAATTTAATACATTATTTGCAATGCTTCTTTAGAAATTAAAGCAACTTTCCTGAGTTTTGTTTAGCGTTTTTTTTGTTTGTTTTTTTGGTGTTTGTTTTTGGTTTGTTTTTTTAAATACACTGGCATTAAGATTTATAAGGCCACAGTTAATAAGCAGCAATCAAACAACAGGTAAAGTTTTTAAAGACTACTACCCAAAGCTCATTTTTTTCTCCATCTAGTAAGTCAGCAGAAGTTGTCCTATGAGGAATCTTTGTCCTTACCAGCCTCCAGTTTCCTTTGTGACATTATGAATTAAAGCTCCTCGAGAGAAGCTCAATTCATCACTTCTTTTGGCTCTGTAGTCATACAAGGCTTTCACTGTTCTCTGAGGCTTTAAAAGAAACAGAGCAAAGGGGTCATCTAGGGGGACGGGTCATAAAATAATCAATAATGCAATCTTTAAAAAAAAAAAAAAGGGGGGCGGGGGGGAAATTGGATCCTTTTTTTGTTATGAAGCTTAGAAAGCATAATACTAAAGTTCCAGAGTGACATCTATTGGTGGAAGGAAGTAATGCTTCTTAACCTCTATTCTTCAAGTATCAGCTTGGAAGAAAAGAAAAAGAAAAAAAGAATCTTTCTTTTATCGGTGCTGCAACATAATTACTGTCGTAGAAAAAAAAAAAGAAAACCACATAGTGAAATATCAATCCTATATCTTCATTACATGTATTCATACGCAGTTGGAATTTGTGGGCTTAGATGCCTACAAAGCCTCCACTTCAAAACCACATCAGCTATCCTGCCGGTCAGATACGAAGACACCAAGTTTTAGCAGGACAAGGAATTCCTTTATCTTGAATTTACTACTACCCAAATTCTTCAGCAGCAATGCAAATTCATTGGCCAAAAAGGTGAAAAAGAATTACAGCCACAAAATTTGCAAGCAGGTGAACTTTTATGAGAATTTACAAGTAGGCAGGCCCTAACAAGAATTAGAGATAAGTAGATGTTTGCTATGCCACTTGTTTTTAAAACATTAGGTATATATCTTAAAAGAAGATAAACTGTAACAACTCATTAATAAACCAAAGGCACCATTTTTATATAGAAAGCCCATAAATAAACTCTGCACCTATTTGTGCATGCAGGCCATGTTTGCTAACAGAATTGCGATAATTTTGTGCACAAATAACAGTGCTCATAAACACACAGACAACACACACACATGCACAGACACGTACAGATAGGCACACTTTGGGGATTTACATGTTGTACTTTCTATCTGTGAAGATTTGGCTTTCTCAAATTGAATCTTCTCATAGGTTATTTAATTTGGGGGCATACCTGCATAAGCATGCATGCCAAATCAAATTGCCTCCACAGACTCAATAGCAAAAGGTGCCGTAATTCCCAGTATGGATGACTCAATACAGGATTTTCACACAGGAAAACACGTGGTACAAATTTTAAAGAGGTGCCAGCAAAAAGTCACACCCTTTAAATTTCTGCTGTCCAGTCCCCCATAAATCAAGCAGCCTAACACTTTCAATTATCCTTTTCATTACTGCTAACAGGAAATGAACAAACAAGACTCGTAATTTTCAGAAGTCTACAGTAAGCGTGACCATCTCTCTAAGCATACCACTGTAGGGGTGATTTCACTGGGTTCCACATACATCTTGACATCATAGAGGGAGTTAATATCTTTTTCCTAAAAAGCAGGAAGAAGAAAACAAAATAATGAAGTTACAGGAATCAAAAATTATAAAAGACAATGTTAATAGAACATTCATTGCTGAAACCACCTTTCTGACAATATATAGGCAAACAGAAGAGGAGGGAAGCCAAACACCTATGTTATGCTCATGTCTATAGTTGAACATAGCTGAACATGAGTTTGTTATTTAACCTGTCTATGCCTCGGTTTAATGAACAGTAAAACACAATGAAACAGCAATACCTCTTAATCAGTCAGATAGCTTTGAAATTGTGAGCACCCTTCTATGTGCAACTAGGGAAGACAATACTTAAACTTGTGATTTTTATGTTACAATACTTCAGTTCCAGTATTGGTTTCACTGTTAGATAAAAATTCTAAAATAATATACACAGTCATATTCTTCATTTTATTCTCTCTTTGTGGTCCCATTTGGACCCAGTTCTAGGATACAGAACCCTGGTTACAGGCAACATTATAAAAAATCCTGAGGTCTAAAACATTTTCAGTCCCATAGCAGGGGGGTTGGAACTACATGGTCTTTAAGGTTGCTTCCAACCAAGCCATTCTATGATTCTACGATCTCGGGCTTTTCAAAAGCCAGTTACCTCAGCAAAGTTCTCTTGTCATGGAACATATCCATCCAGAAAGCAGGCCTCAGCTAATTATCCAGGCTCCTAGTTTAGTCAATGGACAGACACAAGTATCTCTTGGGGAGATTTCCTCATGCTTATTTCAAAGAGTGAGCCTTGAGAGGTACCCCTCACTTTTTACCACAGAAAGCAGTTGGACACCATTCCAAAGACAGCTCCAGTGCAGTGAAGCGAATGCCACTGCCTGTCCAGAGCAAGAGGCACAGCAAAATATTTCTTTTTTTCTGAAATGCTTAGCAATTGGCATCTGCATGATCATTTTAAGATCTCTGCCCACTCCAGCAATAGAAGACAGGGCTAACTGCAGGCCAGGCTATTATCAAAAACTTGTTTTAGCACAGCAATGATCCCCTTCACAGAGCAGCTTTTCTAATCAAATCATGAGGAAGGCAAGAGTTGACCTGTAATCAAAGATGAAGCTCTTTCCTTCACATATCTCAAAACCCTTGTGACAGAAGTCAGTATAACCATCTCAGTTTCACAGATAAGAAAACTACCTGCTTAATCTCCCCCAAAGATCATCTACCACAGCCAGAATCAAACCCAGCACCCCCAAGTCTAAATCTGAGACTCTGTCTGCTACAGCAGCCGGCACTCGTATAAAGACCATCACTTACCATGCTGTAGCGCTCCAGCAGCTCCTCAGTCACTGGGTAACGTAGTTTCATTTTCCTGTACAGCGGATGCTTCTCATAGTACGTTACCAGCTCCACTAAACTCTCAAAATAGGCCGAGGTTCCAAGCACAAAATGTCGACCTTCTTGTTGAATTCGGAAGTGCTTCACCTTCCCCTCCGCTCTGTGAAACAAATGCAGCTGCTGTAAAAGGTATTGGTACTTGCAGTGAGAGCACCAGTGCTGTAAACTGGACCAAAACTGCTTTTGCATCTTAATCATGTGAAATAATTTCCCCCCTCTTCCAAAGCCTCTTTTATTCAAATTGAATTCCAGTTGCCTGATTAAATCCATAAAAAGACATTCTCACTTTTCTACAATGTACAGGGCCTGGGGACAAATCCATGGTTTTGCTTAGATTAAATTTTCCTACTTTTTTCCCCCTACAGATAGTATGAAGATGGCAGAATATCTTAACACAAATGCCTCTGATCAGACTGAGAGTCCCTCTGGAATCCACTGCTGCTGATTTGCCACTGTCCCTAAGTGACAGACACAGTCCCGTCAAAATGAGTAGCTGTCTCTTCCCTATAATCATTTTGATAACTACAGGAATCAATTTTGAAAGAAAAAAAAAAAAAAAATCTCTTGTGCTTGAACAGAAGGTTTGTGCTTGCATTGATAACAGTAAAACCATCCACTGACAATCATCCCACCCACAGAAGACCCCTGCATCCTTTTCAAGCTGCTGAAGTTTTGGTACTTCTTGTTTTCCCCCACTGTGAAATGGTTTTATTGAGATGCCGCAGCTCAAGTTACTTCAATATCCACCTTGGTAACAGCAGAAAGCTTCAAACCAAAGTACACAGGGGACTGGGGAATTCTGGACATCTTCAATACACAGTAAGGCATGTAAATAAGAAGAAAACAAGTATTTGTTTTTCCAAAGCAATTTTATACGTTGCAGAAACACGCATTTTCAGAGAAACGCAATTTGATTTGAAGGCACAATGGAGAACACCAGAATTCTATATATTTCATTAATGTTGTTGTAAGAACCAGAGTTTCAAAAATATTTTCCCTAGCAAGAACAGCCAACAATTTCATTTTGACATTTCATTTCGGTCAGTTATATGACAGGGCAGGATTTCCAGGGGATAAGGACCTAGAATCACTGCTGAATCAGCACCAAAGAAAACTTCAAAATAACACCCTGTAGCAAGGAGGGTCAAGGAAGCGAAGAAGGGCCATGCACAGATCTGTATGGGAAGAAAGGGACAGTCGGTGCCCAGATATTCTTTATAAAAGCATAAAGGTTTATTCCAGTCACAAATTAACTCCTGTACACATTCTCATTAATGGACCTGCTACACAAATCAACCATGCTAATTACTTAGAGTTTGAAAGCAATAATTTTATGACTCTAAAAAAAACACAGTATTTTTTAAATAAGAAGAAACAGAACACTGTTGGGCTACTAGGTAATGTAGTCATATCTGTCTTTTCTTACCTGAAAGTCATGGCAAACGAATCAGGTTCATCTCTCTTTCTAATCAGAAAGGCTCCATCTCGAGGAATTCGCATCAGCATGTCTTCTGCCTCTCCCCGACTCAAGTTGCTATAGTACCAACTACAACAGTTAAAAATCAAAATGGACAAAGGATTACAAAGCTGGTCAAATGTCGTTCACTAAGAATAACAGGCAGTGTTATTAACAACAGTTTCGAACACTACAAGAAAAATTATGCATTAGATCTTCCCCATCTTGCCATCTATGACAGCAGCTTATTACAAAAACATGGCAACACAGCACCTTATTTTGGATGAAAGCATCAAGAATATATCAGAAAACCTTGTCTGTTTGAAATCATAAAACATGAATCTGCATTTCTTCCTGAAAAAAAGGCACCAGATCCTGCTTTTAGTCTGCCATTCAGTTTTCAGTAGTTTATTCAGTTTTGACATAGTAGATGTAAGGAAAAGACCAAACACAGATAAAAGAAAAACACCAGGCATTTGCATTCTTCTATTCAGAGCTTGATTTTATCTTTCACTATAGGGCTGGACCTATCTTGGATCTAATGTGCCTTCAGTGAAGCTGTGGCCGCTTATACTGGCAGTACATCTCCACCTTATACAGAAAGGCAGGAAAGCCTAACCCTTAAACTCTACCCTCCCCTCTCATTGCTTCCAAAGTTATCTACAGGTAGCCACAGAATCCCAAATCCTGCAGGGAGGGGGGGGCGGGGGTGCAAAAAAATAATTTTAAAGACACAGATCAGTATTTCAGAGGCAAAGGAGATTTACTTTTTCTCACAGCAAAGAAAACAGAACAAAGGGTAGTGATTACAGTGTTCTGCCAGCAAACAAGAACAAGCTCTGCCCAGGATCTACGTCAGGCAAACAACAGCTGGAAATAAACACCAAGCTATACTACTCCCTATCAGCATGGGGCAAAGTCAACCTAACCAGCTTGACAGGCGTGAGGTGAAGGGTGGATTAGGAAAACGTAACTGTTTGGGCTCACTGCCTCAGTAATAGAGTTTCCAGATGGCACAGCCCATGACCACTTAGTTGCCAGACCACAGCCAACTACTAAATATCTAATCCAACCCACTGGGTGTTGTAAAACACTGAGCAGAGAAAGAAGAAATTGGCACAGTTCCACAGCATTACAGTTCTCACTGATTTTCCTAGTTGCTGCTAGTAAATTGCTTTCCCAGTGACTACTCTCTGTTGTACCAGGTTCTCACAAAGTCAGAGATCTTACTTGGCATCTTTCAGGGAAGCTTATTCCTATGACACCCGTAGACAAGCAACACTCAGGTGTGCTCCTGAATCCAGGGAATTTTCTGTGCAAAAATCCAACACCATCTAAAACAACGCAAAGGACACTGGCACAACAACCCTGGTGCTTGCCTTCTGCTGTACGTACTCTTTAGTCTCATGCGGGCTGGGATTAGGCACAGCATCAGTCAGACGCAGCTCAAATTCAGCACATCGCAAGTGGGCCTCCTTGTAGTGTTGAATAAGATCATAGATGCTGTCAAAAGTAAGGTTGTCCGTCAGGTAGTATTTCACAGAGTCCCCATCACTTGAAGAACGGATCCGACAGTGCTGGACTCTACCTGACCTCCTGAAGAAATGAAGAGGGGCATAAGGAAAAGAAAGGTTTTATAACAGGTTTTCTTCTTTTGAAGCGTTTCCTACCCATTCCTGGTCAACTACTTGGTGAGCTTGTGAAGAGGCAAGAAATTTGTATCATCTTGTAAAACAACCAAAGTAAGAACAGCAACAAAAAGCATGACAAGTAAGATTACAGGATCGAAAACAATAATTTTCAATTCACAATATTTTAAAACCTGGTATACACTTACTCCCTCCAAAATTTGCTCTGACAGCTTTCTGGGTCAGAAATCTATCTGATACGTTATTCCTCATAATGTCCAAACCAGAAGAAAAAAGAAAAAAGATTACAAAAAAACCAAACCAAAACACAAAAAACCCCTGATAATTATTTATTATTTTCCCTCTAGAGGATCCTCTCATTGAAAGGACCAATCTCTGCTAATAAAGGTACACTCACGAGACTACCCTTTCAGTGTAGAAACCAGTAATTTCTCCCTAAATTAAAAGATCAAATTTTGGTCCACTCCTTGAAGAAATAACAAATCCTATATCCTGCCAGAGCACTAGAAAAGTTGGGAGGGTACAGGGGAGGATCAAACCAGTCAGTCTTCTCTTGACAACTGTAACACTTCAAATAAAGCCTATTCTGCCAAAATGCACTATGCTGCACTGAAGTTTAATTTAGAAAGCAGTCTTTCACAATCCAATCAATAGCATTCTAGTAATTATAGCAACTCCTGTTCCTATTTCGTCTCAGCTATAAACGCATACTAGAAAAATACACACATTTTTGTGTAATGCCATAAAACAAACAAAACCCACATAAAATTTTTAAGACAATCACCATACCAGAATCAATAGCATTCTAGTAATTATAGCAACTCCTGTTCCTATTTCGTCTCAGCTATAAACGCATACTAGAAAAATACACACATTTTTGTGTAATGCCATAAAACAAACAAAACCCACATAAAATTAAGACAATCACCGTACCAGAATGATAATGTGCAATCATTAGGGAAAGCCTCGCTTTCCCTAACTAGGAATGTCCCATCCTTGCCACCCATTTCAGCACAATATTCTTGGAGCAGTTTCTCAGCAGTTGTTCTCCCCTCCTTCATTTTCCCATGGAACCATTTCTCTTTTAAGTGCAGTTCAGTACGTTTCCCCTCCTAGACCAGAAAATAAGAATTTTTACAGTGCATTTCTAATTTTATGATTTTGAAACAAAGTACTTGTTACTGATATAAGAATCTACTGTTTCAGGATTTTGGCTCTTCCTAGCCCTGAACTTTCCTTCCACAAACAAGCCAATCATCTCTACAGTCATCCTTGACTCTCCTTCCCAGTCAAGTCATTTCTTTGGAGACGTGATCAACTTCAGCCTTATTCAAATATGTAATCAACAGAAAGTGAAAGAATGCATCAATGCAAACACCAATTTATATTTTCAAGGCAAAATACCCTACTGCTAAGTCACAGAGTTACTAATCAGCTTTTTCCAGGATTCATCTGTGTTCTTCCTTACACATTAATGATTTTACTGGCGTTAACATCTAGGTGAATGGGTAAAACATTCTGCATGTGCAGAGAGATCTCTGAACCCTGCACATACATGTTAGCAACAAAAGAGCATGTATGGAAACCCAAAAGGTCAGAACAAGAAACTATGCTGAACATCACTGCTATTGCAACCCTTACTGAGCCTCATATTTTTGCTTTACCATGCACAACAGCCAAGTAAGACATGCTCATCTGTGACAAATGCTTTGCAAATGTGTAATGAGCAAGGTGCACTGTGTAAGAGGTGTGCTGTATCACTAACACAACAAACCTTAGTTCATCATACTGTCTAGTTTGAGAACAGCAATAGTACTTAGCCAAAGGCATATAAAGACTTTGATTGTCAGTGCACACATTAGCATTAGCATTTAAGTACCAAAATTATACTTCACTGTCTTGTGTACTCCTCTTTGCAAGTCCTCAATTAACCAAGGGAAAAAGTTATTTTATTAAACATAGAGTTAACTGGAGTACCTTGGCAAAGACTCTTTTTAAAATTTTTTGTCTCCAGATACACTTGTTATCTGACGCAGATCCCCTGCAATTTTGAAAATTGGTATAAAAAAAATATGCATCCACAGACACTGAAATAATCTGAGAGAATAAAAAGAACGTGCTTAAACAACAAAACACAGTCATCACCTTTGACGAATCTTCATCAGCATTCTGTTCTATATCATCGCTGAATGAAAGCTTTTCATCAGCAATAGCACAGTAGTGCCGAGTCCATTTCTAAAAGTTGAGAGATATTAAAATCTTTAACAAGTCAGAGGGAAACTCACTAACCACAATTTCAAAACAAGGCATAACAATAAACAAAATACCTTCTTCCTCTCATTCACATCTGTTCAACTGACAGTATTACTTACACAAATACTGAGAAAGTTCATGTAAATTTCCAGTATTACACAGCCTAGTAACAAACTGTAGCAAATGTCACATAAATTGTACCTGTTCTATTGTGTCCCACATGTAAAGTTCTCCTTGTTGCTTTTTTTCTTCTTTCTTGTCTTCCAAGTTCACATCAATGTCTCCCTTCGGCCCCAGTTTTTTGTGCTTAAAAACAAAAAACACCTCACCACATTCATACACTTAGATAGAATCATATATAAAATTGGTCATATTTCAGCACACTCAGTATTACTGGAAGTATTTCCCTCCATTGCACAGCCTTCTTGTGTCATTACCATAACAACAGCTGTTCCACAAGGCTTTATGCAACAGGGCTGGAATTTCTTTCTTTAGAATGTAAATCTCATAACAAAGGTTAAAAATTTAGTAGAGGTACCATTCAAGCAATGAAGGAACAACTAGTTTGATAAGACTTATCTTTCTTTAGAGGACAGAAAACATGAAGTGACACATACCAAGAAACAAGGATAAAACAAGAATCCCTCTGCAGAGAGAAGGACATAAGGAACAAAAACCAAAACAAAACAAAGAGGAATTAAAATGTATGGGGAATTCACTCATATACCACAAAAATGGGCAGAAGGCAAATATTTTATGAAAAGAGTGGGTAAGTTCGACTTTCCTGAGAGTGCTCACAAAAAACAGTGGCTCAAAGGGGTAAGGGTAACATCAAATACTTAACTGCACTTAATGACAGGATTAATCATCTCGTACCTAGTAGTTCTCTACCACATTCAGTTCTGCATAGCCTACTGTAGGTAGATTTCAATTTGACAGGCTTATCTGAAAAATCTCACAGGCCCCTAAAGTAGGAGTTTCCTCTGACTGTTTACCGACAACATTTTCCAAACAAAAGCCAAGTAACATAACTAGCTCACCAGCAGGTGCTGGTCTATTTAAAAACTCTTTAATGCTCTTTTAGATAGACAGAGTGATGTGGATGTTCTTTTGTGCAGACTCACAGTAGTTTGTAATTCCCTTTAAATCAGATCTGTGATGTTATTATTTACATGCCTATACAACTCCCCTCTATGCTCTGCAAGATAACAACAGACAATTTGGGGAGGGGGGGCAAACCACAAAACTTAAGCACAGAACTTTTGCACCTTATAGTGGGGTGCTATTATTTCCAGTCTTACATTCAAGAGCTGTATGCTTGTATCTATCTATCCTTATTTCTTCTGTGCAGAAGTTTAATACATAGGATGCAGTACTGTTTCAAGAACTGGAAAACTGAAGCATGGACAAAACTAATTATTATTTTACTAAAGAGATCGTGAGCAGCCCTCAGACTCTCCATCTACTTTTGCCTTTCAAAAAGTTCAAAGTTCTACTGCAGTTTCAATCTAAGAAGTCTTCTTTTGGTTATCTTGCCTCATGCTGTTGCACAACAGTACTGAGTAAAGCATCTGTATTGCCCAGAAGGTAAGACACTCTAACAGTGACTGCCTTCTAATAGGAGCTCCTCCGTGTTTCACAAGTGGCTCACTAAATTGCATATTTAAATGACATTGAGTTAGTAAATACCCAACAATTTTTTAAGTTTGCAAGCAATCCTGACAACTTAAGTGTGCAGCCTGCAAGTGCTTTGGGTTTCACTTGAATGAGAGGCATTCTTTGGGAAAAAAAAAGTTACTAATCTAACTTTCTATTCAAGAACATACTTCTCTCATTTTTAAACAGGCTACATTGTGTAAGAAGTGTGTGATGAGTATCTGCAGCAGTGAACCCTTGCTGAAATTTAGCAGCGACATCTCAGAAGCTGGAAGACCTTTAGAAAAGAGCTGACATTCAATCTCGCACTTGAACTAGCAACGCTTATTGCAAAGAAAACCAATAGCAAGGACTTTAATACGTAGTTTTACAGAACTCCATAAAATACTGCAAAATGTTACTAGTACACACTGCAAGCGTAGAGTTTCTTGTCTCAACAGAAACTAACGGCAAAGCTGTGAAGCCAGAAGTAGTATTTCTGCCTCCTGCTCTTCTTTTTCCTATTTTATCTACCAGCACACAAAGCAAGCCTACCTTGATGATGATTTTTTCTTTCAGCTGGGTTGGTGATGGTAGCTGATCTGCACTGGCTTCAATAGGCTTCATTAAAAGCTGATCCCCAAATACCTCTTTGAACACTTTGGCCATGTGTCGCTGCTGCTCCACACTACAGTGCTCTTCAATTGACAGGATGACTGGGTATCTTTGATGGAGAAAACAAAGGTGAATGAAGACAATTTCTTTTTGCTATAACTGGCAAGGCAAGGAAAACACCACCCTTCCTCACCTGCCCAGATCAAAGAAAATATTAAAGCAAACAAGAAGACAAAAGGAATAGAGATAGATACACAACAGATAAACAGATGTGCAATCATAGAAACTTTAATGTCAGTGTCTATTTTCCTTCACATGCACTCTGAGAAGAGTCTGGCTCCATCTTCTCTATAATCACCCGCTAGGTAGTGGAAGACAGCAACCAGACTACCTTACTAACCTTTTCTTGAAGCTAAACAAACTTAGTTCTGTGAAATTCCCTTTGGATATCATATGCTCTGGCCCCAATATTGAAAACTGAGGCAGGGAAAGCATTGAGTACTTCAGTCTTCTCCAGTCACTAAGTCTCCTGTCCAACTCAGCAGCAGGCTCACATTTTTCCTAATCTTCCTTTTGTTGCAATTGTATCTGTAGAAGTCTTTCTTGTTGTCCTTCACATCACTCAGCAATTTCATCTCCAGACGAGCTTTGGCTTTTCTAATTTTGTCCCTGTATATCCCGGAAATATTTCAATATTCTTTCTGGGTAGCCTATCCCTTAATGTTTTTTTAAAGCATCACACTGCATTCATGGTACGGATGGTTTGAAACCATAATGCATCATGTATTATGGTTGTCATTAACAAAATATGCCTGTGCAGACACTATCCCACATGACAAAATAACATTTCTCTATGTCCACCTGGTAAAGTGGAAAAACAGGACACTTGACAGTCCT